GCACATTATCTTCTGCGTCAGAAATGATCGTAATAGATACGGATCTGAATAAGCGACTGGAACACGGCTGTTTGTCAAAAGCATACGATTTCGAACTCGCGTAAATGTACATTTGCTAAATGCGATGGCATGAACGCTCTTCGAAAACATATGTTCGAAAGTGCTAAATGCTGCATTTTAAATGCAGCAAAAAGGCTACATTAGGCTAGTTATAGCATTTTGACATAATTTTCAATGGAAAATCTGTCAAAAAGAGCTGCACTTAACATTAGACTCGACTTTATTTCATCTACGAGTATGACCCATTATTTTTAATAAATTGCTTATGGAGATCATTTTCTGCCAAAAATATTTTTTTCTCTTAAAATAAAAACCTATTGATGAGGAACGTATTAAAAGTACGCAAAACAAAATTGCGGTTAAAAAAAATACTAACATCAATATAACATAATAATAATAAAAATGTTGAAGTCAGTCAAAATCTTGCCAAAGATGTCAGGGGGCATCGGTCTCCAAAAAGTGTCAATTTGACACTTTAGCGCACAACGGTACTGCTGTACTACTGTACCTGCGCTCGCGCTAATGGCAACTCTAGAACGTTCTGAAGTTTATCGCTCATTCTCTCGCTGTTCGCAGCACAGTGGCTTTGTTTCTTTTATTTTCTAGCAGATAATTATCAGGAATGGGAAAATTTAGAGAATTACGCTCACAGAGCGCAAATAAAGAAATAGTAAAGAAACGCAAAACTAGCAGAAACTAGCAAGTAAACAGCTGATCGATGTATTTGGCTATTGAAAATATTTGGCGCGAATTTTTGTTTATCCATTTTGACAGCTGCTAGTTCCTGCTAGTAAAAATTTTACTAGCAGAAATTAGCAGGAGAGCAAAAAATAAGAGCGTAAGAATGAGAGAGAGCAGCTAGTTTCTGCTAGTTTTTTGGGTTAAGAAACGCTTTCCAGCAGAAATTAGTGATAATTATCTGTTAAGAAACAAATCTAGTATATACAGTAATAAACCTTTTTGAGTACTCCTCGGAGGTAAAATCTGATCAGGGTTGATAATGAGAAGGAGCATGAATTTTGTTGATTCAGAGTTGTATAGAAAATTACTGTGGTATGAAAGGGAGCAACAACCGTACTATGGCAGAGTGGCACAAGTCATGACTGTTTAATAGTACCCGAAACTAATTGCAAAAGTGTAAAACAATAGCAAATTTTTGTCTATTATTATAGATACTAGTACAGATTATCATTGTTCTGTTTGTTAAACTATGTTCACATATCAATATTATCTCAATCAAAGCTTGTTTTTTAATCACCCCGTTTACACAGGCAAATCTCAGATTATTAGCCGTCAAATTTGTTGTGCTTGTTGTTCTCACATCTCAAGGAAAAGTTATGTTTCTTCTCTGTGCCACCGTGATCACGTTTTTCTGCAATAATGAGCAATATAAATATATTTTAACTTAACATTTAATTAAAAATACCTTTACAAACCTCTTTTACTTGCTAGTGTACATTTTTGTTTATTTTTACATTTGGCATTTCTCCTCTTTTTCGCAAAAACAATCGATAAAACTAGGATGGACACCGAAAAGTTATCGGCTAAATCTGAGATTATTTTATAATTACAGATTAACAAGGGACGAATTTTATATGGCTATTCTCTTGTTATAATTACAGATTAGGGTGTTGAGCTTGAAAATGTGGATAATCTACTTATATGTGAACCTAGTATTATATTACACCGTACATGATAATGAACTGTTAAGTGCTGAAAACGCTTGTAACTTGTAACGCTTGTGTGCTTAATGGACTGTCTGGGCGGATGCGCTGGCAGGCATTGAGGTCTGTATAGCTATACAAACCCTGTTTTTTTTTTAAATAAAGACTTAAGTATATATTTGGAATTTAGAGTTAAATTCGCAAAATTTACGTTTTTCATAAAAAATTTAATCTTACAATGGACTTTTTTTTATTTTTAACTCACATTTAAGAAAACTCCATTCATGCTTTAATTACGATTGGAGTTTTCCAGTTTATAAAATACAAGCGCTAATTATGTACTTAACTATTCGTCGCCTGGGTAAAAGATTGTCGTAAGCGCCATTTTGAAGATTTTTAGTTCTAGATGCAGTTATATATATATATTGGTGTTATCAGTTTTTAGATATCTCCTTTAGTTTCCGAGATATTGACCACAATTTTTTCGATAATTAAGCAAAAATTTAGTTAGTGATGCAGCCATATTAAAACAATCAATATCTTAAAAACGGCGCTCTCCATTTTTGGATATCTCCTTTAGTTTCCGAGATATTGAGTAAAAAATGTCGTTAACTTGGTAGAAATTTTGATCACATTTTGTCGTATTTCATAAAAATTGGCTGCCAAATTGTGGACAAATGACCCTTACGATAAAATGTTACTAAAGAAAATCCTTGATAAACTCAAAACTTATTAACAATAAACATTCAAAATTAAATATTTTAAGAATTTTGTGAACTAGTAACATTTTCAGATACATTGGAGAGAGTCTATCTTCGCGTTTTTGAGAAATTGGCTTCCAAACTTAAATCGCGATTTCCCACAACCTGTCGAAATTAACATACGACAATCTTTTACCCAGCCGACGTGTTGATATTATTCTTCATTAAGCATGAATATCAGCATACATTACAGATGAATATTATACTTAACTTACATTTTGTTCATAAATAACACATAATTATGTATATTTTATCCTCGAAATGAAATTTTCTAATCATGAGGCGGAATTCGCCACAGTAAATGTTGCCGTGCGCGCAAAATGAAAACGCTGCACACAACCCAAAAGTACTCCTCGGGGACCAAATGGTGAAAAACTGCGAAAAGGTTTGTTACTGTATATACTGTGGTTCGCAGTATTCATCCATTTGACGTTGCTCACTGTCGAAAGTACCACGTCATTCTAAGAACATTCTGCCATTTTCTAATTGTTCGCTTCGCGTTGCCGCAGAATTCGCCACCCTATCATCGATTATAGGTATCATAACCATAAACAGCCGATTTTTCGTAGTCAACAATGTCGGTGTTGCCAGAAGCGAAATGTGTAATATCGTAAAATATTTGTGCAGAACTTCTTTCACTATCACTAAATTCTGAAAACTCAACAAATCAACAAATTAGAGGTACCAACTGGTACTTTCTTAGTAATATTAATTTCTTTTGCACTAACTATGAAATTTTGTTAAAAAATGTTATTTTATGAAAAAATACGATTTTTTTAATTTTAAATATTTTTTGATTAAAAATATAAAAAAGCATATAAACTATGTACATCAACTGAAAGATAAATTAATTGTCTTTATATTGACATCATTCGTTTTTGAAGCCATTAGGTAATTCATAAGATGCTAATGTTTCGAAAGTTAAAAAAAAATTTAATTCAACCTTTTATATCTTCTTTATATTTTTGCGCCGAATAATCTTGATACAGTTGAAATCAGCGTGAGAAGTTCTATTGACCCACATTTTTGATTTTCCATAGCTACATGGTTAATATTCCACACTTATGCCAAAGCATAAGCTGTGAACAATTTTTTTGTGGATGTCTGGCAATACGGCGGAAAACCAAAATTCAATTGGTTTCTTTGGCTATGGTTATGGCCATGATTCAACAACTACAGGTTGTAGCAATCGTACAAAAACAACATTTACCGTTGGTATGAACTCCTTGTGTCATCACCATCTTTTTTATCTATTCATATTCGTGTGTATATGTATACCCTGCATACCAGGATTTCATAGAATTCTGAAAGGTTTCACAATTTTTTTAAGAATTTTCTTTAAGAAATCGTACAGAAATTTCTTTAATAGTTCTTGTCAATCGCCTCATATGTTTTTCTTTACAGATTTCTAAAAGAATCGTAACAAATTTCCGACACTCTTAAAGATTTCGGGAGCATTTGTTTGCAGGGTATATATATACGTATATGTGTATGTGTACGCGGATATGTAAATATAGCAAAACAGACGATAATTTGACACAAGCGTGCTCATAAGAAGAAGCATAGCTTTTATCGCTAACAACCAAGAATGATAGAATACAAGATTGCGCCGATCAGAGAGGATTTTTGAGAATAACTTTTGTGTGACGTCACACTGGTGCAATTGCGAGAGAGAAATGCCAAAACGTGAGCAAGAATGGAAGAAGAAGAAAAAATTATGCAAAGGAAAACGTAAACAAGTTGCACCAGTGTGACGTCATGCAAACAACGATTCTGTCAAATTCGTTAAGAGAAAAATAGCGGTACCGAGATCGGCGCAACCTTTGTATTCTCTCAATCGTGGCTATCACCTGTAATTGATGCGCCTTGGGTTATGGCTATGGCGTGATGGTGTGGCACCATTAATCGGATACAGGGGTGGCCATAAGGTTTTTTGGAACAGCTGATTTATTTGTTTATGGTAATGCCACCACTAATTTAAGCTTACATTAGTAAGTGAAGCTGAGTTTCCAATTTTGAAGTTACTCTTTCGCTTTGTTATCGCTTTGTTTTCCTTTGGTTCAGCTGGAGAATACAGAGTAGTTTCTGAACTGTTTGGGGTTGGAAAATCAACTGTGTGTGCAATACTGATGGAATTCTGCGAAGAAGTATGGCAAGCGATGTCCACACAGTATATAAAGAAATTACCACCGACGCAAGATGTAGTCACTGAATGCGTGAATGGTTTTCATCGCCTTGGGTTTCCACAATGTCTGGGAGCAATTGGTAGGCAAATGGAAGATTTCCCCTGTTACTATTAAAATAATGTAGACATTAATTTACAAATTCATGTTTGTATTTTCAGATGGATGTCACATCGAAATAAAACCAAATTCGACTGATGCAACCGACTACCACAATTATAAGGGATGGTATTCTATTGTACTTCTTGCGCTTGTGGATTACAGGTACAAAATACATATATTTGTTACCGTTTATTTCTTTTTTTAATAACAACATATTATATGCACAGATCCCGTTTTTTATATATAAATATTGGTGCTCCGGGACGTTGCAATGACTCCCAAATATATAATTCATCCCTACTTAAGAACGTGATAACTGAAGACGAAGTATAGGCGGCCAATAAGAAGAGCATATGTGGTGTACAAATGTATCTTAGGAGATTCTTCATTTAGATTTTCCACCACTTTAATGAAACCATATGCCTTTTCTACGGCCTTGACGGAGAGACAAAAATTGTTCAACTACAAATAATCAAAATGCAGAAGAGTGGTAGAGAACGCTTTCGGTCATTTAAAAGCCCGTTTTCGTCGCATTGGAAAAGGTTTAGATAACCGAATAGGGAACGCGCCGATCATTGTTTGAGCTAGCTGTATTTTACACAATTTTTTAAACGAAGAAAATGATCATATCAATCAAATTCGGTTGGAAAATTTGCAAGAGTTTGACCGAAATCGGGAAAACCCTTCGCGAAATGTTGTACTTGGCGATAACGAAACCTCAGCTGAAACCATAAGACAATCGCTGTGTTCTTATTTTGGTAAGTAAAAGCATTGGGAAATTAATTTATAATTGTTTTTTTTGTTTACAGACGTAAATAAATCTTCGAACCTGTGGCATTTGAACATCACTACTAAAGTAAAATTTTCCGACGAATCTGAATATGAAGTGAAAAGCAAGTAGTGTTTGCGATAAAGAATTTTTTTTAGTTCTTAATGTCATCAACATTTTCCAACCGGATTAGGGGTTTAAGAGCTATATGTACATTTTTTTAACCCTCGTCCGGGCGCATATTCTTACAACGCTAAACGGGCGCAGAGGTACAATTGTACCTTCATACAGTTTTTATTCGAATTTTTGCCAAGGATTAAATTTTTATATAAACAACTGGTGATATTTAAAAAATACATGTTATTTTGAACATGTTTATATATATTTTTTTGTAACCTCCATAATTTGTTTTAATTTAAAAATTAAAACACTAATTGAATTGCATGCATCTTTGGGAAGATGACAGAAGTAACAAAGAGAATCTGGAATATATGTGGCTTGTTGATTCACTCCCTGCCATGTCTTACAATCGTTTTAAGATGCTGTTCTGTTTTATCACATTTGACAAAAAAAAAAAAAATACATTAGCTGGACGTAGGCAAAAAAAAGATAAAGCAGCACTAATACGCGACGTCCGGACAATGCTGCACAGTTGTTTAGAGAAAGCATATAAGCCGTATGAATACCTGACTGTCAACGAACAGTTGTTTCCATTTCGGGGCACACTAAATTTACCCAATACGTTCCTTTAAAACAGCTTTATACCGGAATGCCATCAGTTGGATGCAGACAAGTGAACGTTGGAGAACAAATAGTTTTGGACCTAGTTGCTTTATATAAAGGCTTTGATAGAAATGACCCAACTGACGATTTCTTCATCTCCTTGCAGCTAGCCGAAAGAGCTCATAGGGAATGGCATTAGCTAACATGGTGAAAAAATAAAATAAAAGGTTTGTGCCCAGCTTCCCGTCAAAAACAGGCCTATAAATTAAAAAAATTTCAGCTACAGTAGAGATGCTACAATACGTTCACATGTGCCAAAGAAGAAAAAAGAAGTCCTACTTGCTTGAACCATGCACATGACGGAAGAGGCTGATGACTCTCAAACAGACAAACCACTTATTATAACTTATTACAATAAAATCAAAGGCGGAGTCGATGTAATGTATAGAATGCTTGAAGAGTGAACCGTCGAACATTGCACTGTCCCTTGAAATTTTTTATAATATGATTGACGTCACTACTTTAGCATCCTACATAACCTTCACAGATCATAATCCTCGCCGAAAGTTTCGGAAAGATCTCTCCGTCAGTTGAATCTCGAAGTGCAAATCCAATGATGAAGAAAAGCCATTTCCTTTGAAGTAGAAATGGTGTGGCATCATCAACATCTGCCTTTCAATTACCTCGTGGTAGCCGCGGAAGTTGCTACATCTATCTGAAAAAAAAAAATGAAAACAACGCAAAACTTGAAAGTTTTGCATTTCCTGTGCATATCCCACTTGTTAAAGAGAAGTATGAATAATTTTTTAAATTAAAATAAATTACTTTGACTGCACTTTTGGCACATCTTAAGAACTAAAAAAATTCATTATCGCAAACACTACTTGCTTTTCACTTCATATTCAGATTCGTCGGGAAATTTTAGTTTAGCAGTGATGGTCAAATTCCACAGGTCGGATTTTTTGTAGACTACACTGCGTTGCATAATTATAAGACCGCCACATATTAACAAGTTTTGACTACTTAGTTTTATATTATTTACTTTCAATTATTTTCCTATAAAATCATAGTTCATTCTATAACAAACACGATACAAATTCACACTTTCAACTTTGTGAAAAAATTATAAAAATTTTGCAAATTTTCATAAACTTTTTATATTAAATATTCTTTTTTAAAGAGTTTTCGGAAAAAATTTGCGCATGCAGTTTTATAGCCCATTCAATTCCAGTACAAAAAAGTGCAAGTTTGAAGTAGCTACAAAATATCGTTGATTTTTGACCATTTTTTCTGTTGACGGTGTTCATTTTCTTNTATTATTTACTTTCAATTATTTTCCTATAAAATCATAGTTCATTCTATAACAAACACGATACAAATTCACACTTTCAACTTTGTGAAAAAATTATAAAAATTTTGCAAATTTTCATAAACTTTTTATATTAAATATTCTTTTTTAAAGAGTTTTCGGAAAAAATTTGCGCATGCAGTTTTATAGCCCATTCAATTCCAGTACAAAAAAGTGCAAGTTTGAAGTAGCTACAAAATATCGTTGATTTTTGACCATTTTTTCTGTTGACGGTGTTCATTTTCTTCCATATAAAAAATTTTTCGAAAATAATTTGTATGGAAGAAGATGAGTGACACCTTTAATAAAAAGATTGCCAAAAATCAACGATATTTTGTAGCTACTGCAAACTTGAACTTTTTTGTACTGGAATTGAATGGGCTATAAAACTGTATGCGCAAATTTTTTCCGAAAACTCTTAAAAAAAAATATTTATGAAAATTTGTTAAATTTTTATAATTTTTTCACAAAGTTGAAAGTGTGAATTTGTATCGTGTTTGTTATAGAATGAACTATGATTTTATAGGAAAATAATTGAAATTAAATAATATAAAACTAAATTGTCAAAACTTGCAACGCAGTGTGGTGTTATTATTTAAATACATGATTAATTTTTATTTAAAAAAGATATCAGAGCTCGTTTTATTTCCTCGTTGTCTTTCGCAGTTCTTTCCTGTACCTCTGCTTTCTTTTTATAACTTTCATGAGCATGAAATGGTATTATAACTTTGGTCCGATGTTTGTAAGTACCAGAATAAAAAGAGATAGACCCATTAAAATGTATACTTATATGATCAGAACGTCGAGCTGAGTCGATTTAGCCATGTCCGTCTGTCCGTCTGTTTGTATGCAATCTAGTCTCTCAGTTTTCGAGATATCCGTATAAAATTTGGTAGGTGGGTGTATTTTTATAATGTGTTAATCATTTGTCGGAACCGGAAGAATCGGACCACTATAACATATAGCTCCCATACAACTGATTGTTCAGATACCAGTTTTTGCGATATATCTTCTTTGTGTAGGAAACTAAACCCAATAAATTATGTTACCGGTTTACATACCGATCACATAGCAGTGAAAATCACTTAGATTGGTGCTAATATAAGGTATATCTTCTATACCTCTGATTGTTCAGATGCGATTTTTTATATAGGTATATAACTCCTCTATCGATGTATGCAGATGTATTCAAAAGCAGTAAGCTATGAAGCCTTCGGCATAGTCGAAGACAGCGCTGCTCTTGTTTTCTATCTCTATTAACTCCTTTTCATTTTCTTCGCTTCTCTTTAAATGCTCGGCAATGTCCGACGATAAATTGTCAAATTTTTCCAATAATTTTTCTTGGAAATTATATTTTTTGGTTTTTCCAGCCGACGCTGACGTTGAAGGTACCGGTGAGGGCAGTGGCGACGAGGGTGATGGCAACGGTGTTCCTGGGGACGGTAGAGGTGCAGTGGATGACGATGCTTTTGATGCCTCTGTTTGAAAGAAACATTTTTGTGGACATTAAAAATTTAATACAATGAAACGTTTTTTAATTGTAAATGAACAGATGTTTGCTTACTGTATATCGTTACCTTAATTCACAAAGGCCAAAACTAACGAACTTTTTATTTTAGAGGAGCAAAAAACCTTATAAAAAGTATACCAAAAATAGGTAGGACCTTTTAAAAAGTAGCATGTAGCTCTGTTGTTTTTAACAGGGACGTGAACCGAGTTTGAACCGAACCGGTTTTGAACCGAACCGGTTTTGAACCGATGACCGCTTTTTTCTATTAATTAACTGAACCGAAATTTTCCACAAATGTTTGATCCGAACCGAAAACCGAACCACTTTCTATAAAGGTTTAAAGGTTCGTTTCAACCAATTTTCAATAGATAAATGTGTCCACTTTTTTCTNCCGGTTTTGAACCGAACCGGTTTTGAACCGATGACCGCTTTTTTCTATTAATTAACTGAACCGAAATTTTCCACAAATGTTTGATCCGAACCGAAAACCGAACCACTTTCTATAAAGGTTTAAAGGTTCGTTTCAACCAATTTTCAATAGATAAATGTGTCCACTTTTTTCTTTTTGTTAAGCATGGTAATACCTACCATGTTTGTTTACCATGTGACAATCTCAAATGTAAAGGCAACCCATCTCATTTGACAGACACTTGACCTTTAACCTTGCGCGTTGTTGCACCTGACACTTAAGGCTGATTCACATACAACTCATGAACGAAAGACACAAGATCACGTAAGAACAAGAGAGTGAAAAAAGTCGATTTTTTTAGCGGGTTCTACGCCATCTTGTTTCACTTGAAAACAAGCGAAAATAAACAAAGCAAAGAAAACAACGAAAACCAAAGTTAGCCAAAATTATTGTCAGCCACTTTAAGCGCACAATTTAGGTAAAATGATGCAATAAAATGCTTGGAAATGTGTTGTCATGTTGAATTAATTCTTCTTTACTTAAATAAAAGTGTAAAATAGTGGTGCTTGTGATGTAAACAAACGCTCAGCTGACGAACCCGCTTTCGCAAACTTTTTTCTTAAAACCAGTTACAAATACAACGTCGCGTTCTTACGTGATCTTGTATTTTTGGTTCATGCATACAACTTTCTTCGCTTTGCTTGATAGTTCTTTGCTTTGACATATAAGATCGATATAGGCATATGCATGAGAATGCTCACATATAAAACATTTGAAGCAAAGCAAAGCAAAACGAAGCAAAATCTTGGGCAACTCTCAACTTTTGCCCGCTTTGGCAATCAGCTTTCTACATTTATCTTTTCTTGTGCGCTTGCATTTGCATTTAATGACAAAAATAGGGTAAATAGGAATTTTTATTGCTATTATTAATGCATATTATTATATTGCTATCTATTTTACAGATAAAAAATATGGAGGAAAAGGAGAACGCAAAAGCTGTCAAAGCGTTTATTGTAGCATACCTTCTGCGTTTCGCGCTTTGTTGTCAAAGTTTGAACTGTCAAGCAAAGCGAGGAAAGTTGTATGTGAATGGCCCTTCAAACTTGCGCGTTATTTTTTTTTTCGAACCGTTGAACCGAACCGAAACCCCGGTTCAAAGACCAAACAAACCGCTTTGATGAACCAATCCAAAAGTGCAAAAACGGTTCGAACCACTGAACCGAAACGACCAAATTTTTTATCCGGTTCACGTCCCTGGTTTTTAATGCTAACACTTGAAAATTTTTATTGAAGGTGTATTTTAATATATCCTACCAAAATGAGTGAAAAACCCAGTTTGGAAAAGCCTTTGTAAATTAAGGTAACGATACGATAAAGAAACGTGTTAAAAAGGTTAATGAATTGGAAATTTTACGAGAGTGCCCTATAAAGCTGCGGGCAATAAAAATTGTAATCACGTTCTTAGGAATTTTTTTTAAGTTTTTTTTGTGTTTTGTGTTCTATTAAATTTAAGAACAATAAAGTGCAAGTTTTAAGTAGCTAAAAATTACCGCTGATTTTTTAGATTTTTTTCCGCTGAAGGTGTTGCGGGTTTCTTCCCTATAAAAATAAATTAGGGCTCTTCAGGATTTTGTGCATATGCTCTTGGACTTGCATAGTCGTTACATTTGTAAATACACAACAATAAAATGCACGCGGTCGCCATGGCAGCAAGCAAAAAAATTGCAAATGCAATTCCAATTGCAAATCCAAGACCATTTTCACAACATCCTGAACAGCCGTATTGTGTTTATTCGTTATATGGAAGCAAATGCAACAAAAAAATTCTAAAAAATCAGCGGTAATTTTTAGTCGCTTAAAACTTCCACATTATCAGACCAAAATTGAATGGGCCAGAAGCATAAATGTGCAAATTTACCAATTGTTGAGTTATTGAGTTGACTGGATTAATCTTTGGATGTTCTACGTTATCCAAAAGCCAAGAATACCATGCATACACGGATAGCGCATATTTCACAATGTTAATTACATGACCTTGATTTCCCAAAATTTTCATTTTTGCATATTCACGTTTCTGGCATACAGGAGACGATATGTACTCGTATGTATATGCAAGTGATTCCAAATAAACGAGAACATACGTACCATCAATGCTTTCAAGCGTGAGCTCCGTGTGGACATTTGCCTTGAACCCTTCAATTATTTGGTGCACCCTCTCATAGTGCACCCATGTAGAAGGCGACCCACCTGAAGGACCAATATCTGCCTTTTCCTTTCTACAAGTTTAATTGAAATATTAAGATTCTACATATAGCATTTTAGGGGAATGTTTAGTTATTTGCACACTGTTTTTGGGTTAGTCGGCGGAGGGAGAGGGGGCGTGACTCTTGATATCCAAACCAGTAGAAAGAGCACAGTTCAAACTTTGTAAAAAGTCATACTTGACTACTCGAAGCCTTGCATAGACTCCTGGGGAACCACTAGAAAACGGTCTAAATTCGGTAAACAGTTTTTTGTGCAAACACTTTACCGTGTTGGCGGCCTTCGAATTTATTAATAAATTGGGCACCGAAAATTACAAAATTAGGTTTCAAATAAAGCATAGACCCTTGACTACAAGTGTGTGTAAAAAGTTTTTGGATAGGGTCACCTATTTGGACACAATAGCCCGAAATCATTGGGCAAATAACTAAACTTTACCCGCATTTTATTCTTGTATAAACATACCTGTAGCGCTGCGAAAAATTTTGCAATTTTACTTGCACATCTCTCGCACTGTGGGTATACCCAAGCTCTGCGAGATCTGCTGCCATCTCTGCTTGGACGTGCGCATTCTTACGCATCCCACGGAGCTCCCCCACTCGTTCTTCCCAGTCTTGCCAATTCCGCCCCCTCACTCCATCCCATCCTCTCCCTCTTGAGTTTTGGTTCTATAATGAATTAAACTAAACAAAAGTGCATTATTTAGAATATCTTTTTATGAAAAATTTGTTAAAATTTACTCACCATCAATTTTGGCGGCCATTGCTTGTTTACTTTTTTAATAATAATATTTTAATGTCATATGCCATATGTCATTAGATTTTTTGACAATTCGTTTCAATGACATTTCGTTTTCTCATCAAACATACCCTTTGCTCTTCTCATTAAACATACTTCACAGGGTTGCATAGAGAATTTGACACAAATTAATTGCCAATTATGTATTAATTGGCAAGTAATAAATTGAAACTTTGTATAAATTGCCGAAAAGGTTCTTAACTGCCAATTAGGTCCCTGTTTGAACATTGTCTAAGGGCCGGTTGCTCAAAGCCTGGTTGACACTAATCCCCGGTTAAACATCGTTATCGACGTTACCGACACCATGTTATTTGCATGGAGCCGAAAACGTCGATAACGATGTTAATCGGTAATTAGTGTCAATCAGGCTTTGAGCAACCGGCCCTAAGGGTGGAGCGATTACAATTAGGATTTAGCACAATATTTCTTAGGTCGCAACGCGGGTATCTCCGAGGTAATAATAATATAGTCACTTGACACGAATAAAGACGCTCGAGTGTTTTGACGGCGATAAAGGATGCATGAAAAAAATTTGTGAAAAAGGCCCGTAAACATGGATTCAACATCATTCCAGAAAAAACTCTTGGGAATTCGTATACTCGCAAACATAGTTGAACGCAAAAATAAGTCTTCTTCGTTTTTCTTCGCCGTCAAAGAGGTTAACACGTCTTTCTTTGCCCTCGCCTATGTTAAGGGCCGGTTACTNTTCGAAGAAGAAGTTTTACATATTTGAATTTATTTGTTTATAATAAGCGAGTTATTTGAAGTTCTGTTGATTTTCAAATGAATTCAATGTTTACAAATTTAGTTGATAAAGAGGTATACGGTACTTACTGCATGTAGGATATACCACATATATTTATTATAGTATAGTAAGTAATGAAATTTCATTTTGTGAATTCATGTTTTAGTTTTGTGATGCGCCTGTAACTTGAACGTCCTTTTACGTGGTGTTTTAATCCACGCCATATCATATTATAGCAACTGATCTGTGATTACATACTGAGATCTGTCTTTTGGTGGATCCTATATTTAATGAATATTTACATATATAATTCTAGACTTAAAAAAATTTACTCAAATTAAAACGAAATAAGACTGAAGGGTTTGATACTAGAGTTTTTATTTACATAAAAATGTTTAATAACATGCCAAAATAATTTTATTGTATTCCTTCAGAAATTTTATTTATCAACGTTTTATTCATATAAAATAATTTGCAAGTAGCCGGTCTTGGACGCGTTTTGCTGTTGAAGACGGCGCGTCTTGATATACATTACTGTAATGCGATCAAACATACATGTTGCAACCCTAAAAACACCTTATATGAATTCGCCTAAGGTAATAGATTATATCTAAGAATTTACGATATTGATGCAACCCTGTTGTATCGGCGAAAGCAGCTAACTTTAAGTCTTTTAGTGAAAATAAAATTAGCAGCATTATTGCGCGTTACTTCAACCCGAAATGTTGAGCTTCATTTAAAGTTATATTTTTGGGCAATTGCAACAGAGCCGGTGGAGCACCATAAATATAAATTTTAAACCCAAAATTCAATACAAAAACTTGAATTGTTTTAACCATTCCCGAAAATTTGTTTGCGTTTGTTCACTTAATTAGGAAGCAAAACAAACAGAGTTGATCACAAATTGATCCAGATTTCTATCAGCATCACATCGACGTTGAATTTGCTTAA